CCCTGATCTAGCCAGATACCTTAACCATTATACTAAACTTGCTCTCAAGCCAGTTTGCCTTTCTATGGGTAGCTCCAGTTGCGGTAGTTAGGCAAATCTCACACAGTTGTTGGAAGCGTCACCATGTGATTGCCCTATGTGACCTTTTTTTTTTTTTTAGCTTTAATGCAACTTTTATTCAGTTGCTTTTGTTACTAGGGTAGAAAAAAAGTATGATATTTAAAATTATACCTTGGTGTAGTGAACCACATTAAATTGCAGTGATATTTTTTTTGTTTATCACTTAATTATTCAGCCATGTAAGCTGACCTTTTGCATATTGTCATGTGGATTTTATTTGTCAGAACAAAATGGGATTTGTAATATATATATAATTACTACCTTATCTGTTCTTTTTTTTAAAGTTAAAAGAATTTATAGATGGAAAGGACATTTTACATTTGCATTAAATTTTTCATTCCGATAACATGGAAATTCTCTTCTGTCTGGAGATTCTTTGTTGTTGATTTACTTCATGTGGATAAGACTATAACTACAAACTGTACAGCGTTTTAAAAAGGACACAGGAGATACTTGAGAAATTATAGACCAATCAGCTTAACATATTCCTGACAAATTGATAGAAATGAGGAACAAGGAAACAGTATTTAAGCATATAGAAGAACAAACCTTATCAAGAGGAAAGCAGCATAAGTACCACTCAGTTAAATTCTGCCACACCAAACTTTTAGAGTACTTTGAGAGTGTTGAGAACCACATAAATGTTGGCACTATCTCTGAATTTTTAAAAAGTCATTGATAAAGTTTCTCATCAAAGATTTTTGAATAGATTTGTTGGTCATGGGATAAGAGGACCTGTTCTTTTGGGAATTGATGATTGGGTCAACAAAACAAAGGAATAAATGGGCATTTTTTTCTCAGTGGAAGAGAGTTAGAGGTAGAATTTTGCAAGACTATGAGTTTTAACGCCACCATAGGCATAAAAGCCAGCTGAGTGACTTTGGGCCAATTACTCTCTCTCAGCCAAGGGAAAATAGGAAGAACAAGTGTTATGTACAGGTGAAACTCGAAAAATTAGAATATCGTGCAAAAGTTCATTTATTTCAGTAATGCAACTTAAAAGGTGAACCTAATATATGAGATAGACTCATTACATGCAAAGCAAGATAGTTCAAGCCGTGATGTGTCATAACTGTGATGATTATGGCTTACAGCTCACGAAAACCCCAAATCCACAATCTCAGAA